TTATTATTATATTATAGTTGCTGAGACATCCAGAAAGCTAGAAAATCAGCATTAAGAAAATCAAAAATCACACAAATCAAAAAATTCAATGAACTAATTGAGGAATGTCAGAAGACTGGAGCAAAAATGAGGAGAGATTTTTCTGCCAACACCACGAACATGACAACAGGTTACCGTCTTAACATACATCAAAGAACGACCAAAAACATCTTGCACGGCCGTAGTTATAAAGATAGTGGATAAACGAGCCAGGTATTTAATGGGTCGATTCATAATTAAAAATGAGATCCAAACGACTATTTGAGGTGATTGCCAAGCTATGATAAACTTGTGTAAATACGAGCCGGGCACTTATGGAACGCATATTAAATATCCCAGATACTTAAGTTACTGAATATGGTCTGCAGTCTTTAGGTAGGACTCGTGCCTTTTGGAGCTCGAAACCAACCGAATAAATTCAAGGTAATATGAACCCTGTACTCTCTCCATTCGCTTCGAAAGTGATTTCACCATTATCGTATTTCCAAATAAACTGCACGGTAGCCAACACATTTAGTCCTTTAAATGTTAAAAAGCGATGTAGGGAAATGCGTGCTTCAAGTGAACCAACACAAGTGTCTGAACTTGAATTAGATGCTTCATTTTCCGAGGGTCTCTCTTACGAGAGTAAAGGTGTGCAATCTGTACATCACAATAACTATTATTGTTATTGTTATGATTCCCTTGAGTTCCGAATGAAACATAGAGCTTCAACATCACACTCCACCATGTCCTGTTTTCTGCCGTCCTTTTCAGCTGGGTCCATGGTTGCTCAAACTCTCATCTCTTCCTCGCACCACATCCCACATGCCCCCTCGCACCGACCACCCACTTGTCCCTTCTAATTTGGATTCCATTGGAGAGCCTGGCGTGCGATGTCATTCGCGCGGCCTCCTCCTCAATGTACACTTGATCAATCTCCACTTTCGCCTAAAAATACTTCATTGGTTTGTTCCCATAGTTTCTTGGTGTTTATCCTTTCTTGATATTTGATCTTTAGTATGGAGCAAGCGAAGGTAGCTGTTGATGAAAATCTCCAAACTGTTGGAAATCCATCTCGTGACGCGCAGTATGGGGAACTGTCTAGCGAGCTTATTAACATAACAAGCATGAGAATGAAAATCCAAGTCAATGAGATAATAGTGTAACGATATATTATCATAAATACTGTAATGAGCTATATTAAATAATTAATAATTAAAGTCCAGGGCAACAAATTATTAATGTGATCCACAGAAGCATTCACTGCTGGAGTCTTGTCTACTGGTAGAAACTGATTATCGGCTGTAGAACCGTCTTCGGATGAGGATAAGAGGTTCTTGCTCGCTTAGTCTGTGACCATTTCACTTGTATGAACCTGTCTCCTTTATCAATGTATATTCTCCTTATATTATATATAATATAACATGAGTGTTTGTTGACAGTCCGTTGCTTGGTGACATATATCCATATTATATGTTTGGTTGTTGACATGTCTGCTATATGTATATATGGATCGATACTTCATTATAATTAGCCATTCATGTTTAGACTGTCTGGTGATTTGTTCACACCCTTGTCTGAACATTCATATATATTTCGCATACACAATTTGTGTGAACTACTTTACTTTACCTACTTACCACTTTGGTGTGAGACCATTTATTTTTCGTCTCCTTATGTTTGGACAATAGAAGTATCATCGCAAACCTAGTGGTCTTCTGATTTCCGCCTTCTTGCGTCAGGACTACTAGTTTCTCGACCGGTCCATAACAATAATTTAGCGACGAGTACATAACAATTTGGCGACGGGGGAAACCAGTACATAACAATAATAGGCAGGCAGTTTTGTCTTACCCCTGTATTCGCTTCAAACGCATCGCTAAGTTTTCCGTTGCGCATCACCTAACACGTGGCGCTGTCATATAGCCAGCTGTTGAATTAGGTTGATAAAGACTTGGGAATTTAACATCGTAGTGTTGAAAAAGTTTCCCAACTACTCCTCGGTCAGCGCTGTCTGTCGAAGGCCTTCTCGAAGTCGATAAAGTTGAGGTACAAGTTTTACTACCATCGTATGCTTTGTTAAGTGATGACGATGCGTACAGTTGCAATTTGATCAGCATGTGATTTGCCTTCCCTGAATTCAGCTTGTCCCTGTGGGGCGGAGTTCTGCATCCAGTGCAACTTTATTCTTTTTTGAAAAGAGCATTATTACACGCCAATTCTTGCACAGGCCATCCTTGGGGATTTGACGAGGTAGCTTCGGGACGAATACCGTCTGGTCCCTCTGCCTCCCCGGACTTCAGTAGCTTGATCACACTCACGTTTTCTTCTTTCGTTGGAGGATTGGTGTCCAGTGGCATTTCCATGTGTACTGTTGGATTTATTTCTACGCGAGTTGCCAGTGGTAGTCGATTCAAGAGTCCTTCAAAGCGATCAGCCCATTGTTCAATTTGTTTCCCCTCCTTGATGATCACGTTCCCTTGAACATCTTTTATTGGTTTCACTATCTGGGTTGATGTCTTACCGGATAGATACCTGTTTATCTGATATAATGTCCTGAGGTCTCTTTTAACTGCAGCCTGCGTGTTCTCCTTCAGTTGCCAGCCAGTGTGTCGTAGAATTGTCTTCCGTCGTTTCTGGCACTCTTCTTCACTTTTTTATTCAGTACAATGTACATTGAACTTAGTTTTTCCTTCTGTTGTCTATCTTTTCATTGAGCCATCTTCTTTATCACCATCCTCCTCTTCCCTCTTCTATTAGCTTCCAGGTATCCACTGAGAGCCATCCATTGTCTTATCTCTTCCTTCCTCCCGGAACGGTTGTACACGTTCCCCTAAATATCGTCTTGTGAGAGTTTCAACAATCTTCCACACAAGTTTCCACAATGATGCCACGTAGTGTGTTCGACTCTGCTCTGATCTAATTTGTTGTGAAGGCATCCATTGTGGTTTTGTCTTTCAGTTTCTGAACTATGAACTTGAATTGTCGCCTGTCTCCAGTTGTTTTGAAGGTTCCTTGAACTAGATGATGGTCTAAGCCCACATCCGCTCCCCTTCTCGACTTTGTTCCCGGTAGGTTGTATCTCCACTTCCATGAGATTGATATGAAATCTGTTTGGTTTGTGGTGTCCCCGCCAACTGGAATCCTCGTTGCTTCGTGTACATCCTTGTGATTGTACACGCTCCCTCCGATCACCAAATCGTTGAAAGCACAGAAGTCTGCGAATAGTTCTTTGTCCTCATTCATTCCTCCGAGCGATAGCCCCTCAACCCATGATGAGTTCTCTTCCTGTATTACCTGCTCCCAGTTTATCCTGCATTCAGATCGCCCATAAGGATTTTGATGGCACCATTTGGAATGTTGTCCATTACTGTTTGTAGGTGTCTGTAAAAATCACCCTTCCTTCTTGTTTCGCGTTGTTTGTAGCACTGTGCGTAGCACTGGATAGTCGTGACTTCTCCTCCTTCCTTTTGAGTTGAATCTTGCTCTCATGATCCTGCAGGAGACGATTGGTTCCCACTACATTAAGGCTGCCAATGGCGATGTCATGATAGCCACTCACTGCCTCAGTGTATTCGTGGTTGTCGTCTGGGTGACCAGATCGGAGTAGATTACTGACTCTCCAGTTGACAATGTTGTCAATCCACATCCATTCCATCTGCTCTCCCAGACACATAGAACTTCTATACCATATCTTCGTATTTCTTCGACTTTTTGGGCGTCTTTCTCAGCCCCGTACATTGTACGAACCTTTTATGTCCGCATTCTCATTCTTGCTTTCATCGAGAGAAGACTCATCGACTGGCTGACTCGCTTGCCGAAGGCTTTCAACAGCCCACGTCATTTCGCTTCTCTGATTGGAGCGAAGAATAAGATTATCATTTGAAATATTTTTGTTTCAAATATATTTTCTATGTGTTGAAATTTTTCTGGCGGTTTGAAGGGTTTAGTGGTGTGAGGTTGCCCAACCCTCCCTTTTTACACGGGCTTGTGACAGCTAGAAAACTAGTAAGCTGGTTAACTAAGTGAGGTTCAGGATAACTGCAGTGGCCAATAATTTTGATGTGTCTTTAGGGTAACCTTTAATGCAATCATCCATTTAACAAGGTTTTCAGGGCAGTTTTTTATCTACAGACTTACAGTTTTTAGTTGCATTATCACTCACTAAAGCGTTGCATCCTTTTTAAGAGAGTGAAGACAACGGAAACACTTCAATGACTTTGAGAGAAAGACTGGGAGGATAGATACCTCCCAGTGTCTTGACTAGCGAAAAATAGTCAGATTTAAGTGCCTTTCATCTTCTTGTTCACGCAAACAATTCCGAGAAGTTATTTTCTCCCTATATTTGTTAATGTTTCCGAAGTAAATTTGATAAAGCAAGACCCTCGTGTCCACATACTTCAATAACATTTTTGGATCGAAAAGGCCTACACATACTGCATATCATTTCAAATGAATAACAGACTGTTTCATGTCTTTTGAAAGAGACGGTATTCTATCGAGACAAACCCGGTATAAGTACTAGGGATTTCGTTGAGGAAAGTACGCCTCGCCACAAAGCCTAATAGCTTTTTATCTAAGGGTTATAGCTCAAAGGTGAACTGTTGAATATGATGAAAATAAACTATATGCATCAAGATTCCTCATACCTCAATAAGACGTTCTTATTAAGGCGGAATCCCTATATGTTGAAACTTTACATGGCAGTGAAGCCATAGTGCACAGAATTCTTATTTATTTGATCTTCCCTTTAATCCGTAGGATTTCGTTTGCTGTAAATTCCTATAATGAAGACTTTTACAGGGAATTACGCCGAAGATTACAACAAATCAGTCTAAGAAACTTAAAATATTAGTACGGAAGATACTTCGAGTGGAAGCTTTCGCCCCTCCTTAATGCTTCAGACAGTAATCGGTGTGAAATGGGGGCGAATGTTTCAACGAGCTTCATCTTTGATATTTAAAAACGCGTAACTTGCGATTTTGCCATCAGAGGACTTTGGAAGACAGTCTAGTTCTGACATTGTTCTTAGATTCGGTACCTTGAAATAGAGACGCCAACTAAATAAGATATCTCAAAACAAACATGAGATTTAAAGCCATTCGGTTGCCAGATGCGAAGGGTCAAGTAATCGTATGATATTGAATATTGAGTGTCGAACATTGTTTTAAATTTGCATAGAGCACTTACAGGCTCTTCCTGTTTGCGAGCTACTTGAATTTGTGTCTCTGTCTACGTGATGTTGGGTTCAGGATTGTATGTTATATCCACACATTTATCTTAACTATTTCATCTTTTAGAAATCTTGGTGGTCACTCTTTTCCTAGTGTTAATTCCGTTTCAAGATTTGGGGAAGCGTCTCCATATAATCCAAATGCACCAATATGTTCATATCCACGTTCATTATTGGAGCACGTAGTTAGTTTGGATATCGATCATCAACCTGCGTACATTCGGAACACTGGGATAATATGTACAATCGGTAAGCACTGTCAGAATAAGTAAAGCAGTCGGTTAGCATTTCCATAACTATTAACCAGCATTTTACATACGGCACCCACTTTCTATTGTGTAATCCACCTCACCGTATATACTGAAAGTATCTGTTTTTGTCAACTTCGGATCTGCATGACCCGCAGAAGAAACTTGTACTTCCATATTATTGGCTCCTTCCTTAATAACGGATATAACTGAGGACTTAGTTACAGCCCTTGCTCACATCAGGACGATCTGATGCATCAAACCAGATCATTTGTAGTCATTTGTAATATACATACAATTTCCATCATTTAAGTGGGAGTGGACGTCTTGTTCCAACACATGAAATATGGTTCATGAAACTAAGTATATACATCCACTTGTTGAAGAGTTTCTCCGACGTTCGGACTCAGTACTAAGTTGAGTACAGAAGGCTCTATTCTAGTAAATATCGTTTTGTTAACAGAAATATGTGCTCATGTAACCAATTCTTGTGTGCATGATGCGGACTGTTGCACAGTTGAGTACGTCGTTTTAAAGTACCTATTCTTTGAACCAACCTATTAATTTGTTGAGATCTCTTTAAAACCTAGGCATACCGCAGTCATCCTTGAGCTCGAAGTTTCGCATCACCTGCGTAGAGAATTATAGAATATCCAGCAAGCCCGGATAATCCGTCAGCACACAAATAGTAGAAAGGGTCCGAGTACAAGGAATTTCAGTTAGGTAGGCCGGGACTTCCCAATATCTCCAGTTTTATTTGAGGCACTTTGTCGACAGCTATGCTAAAATCTTTGACGTCTTTTGTTATTTAGTTTCTAAGACACAAGGCGTTTATGTGAAAGCTTCGTTGTGACTGAATAACATCACAAGGGCCTTCTTAATCTCTCCTAACAGTACCTAGGTCCAGGTGCTAGTATAATCGAAACTCCCGTATTTGCAGGAACATTGCTTATATGTTACTTCCTGGGGGGGGGGGGGGTACCAATGCATTTTTTCAATCACGCGGTAATACCATGTAAGAGGTATGTATTGGAGTTATAAGTCAATGGACTGGCTATGTGAACCAGCAACCCCCTGAGAACGCCGCGGTGAATATCACGTCCGAATGATATGTCTGTCTGCTTTGCTTAAGGATTGAAATACAATGTTTTAGTTGTCATCAGCACAACCTATCCCGTTTTCTCGTAGATTCATGTTATTTCCACATGTGCTTCAGTCCGTTGATGCTTTTCCCACTTAGAAAGTTAGCTGGGTTATAGAAACTGCAATATGTTGCTATGACGTCGATGTCTTTTCTTCGTATTTTGGTGATGGTGTTCAGCTAGTAGCCCTGATTCCGTATTGTCTGTAAAGTCCCGATTTATCGAGCTCATTCGCATGTATTGCGTTCTACCCACAAAGGATTGGAAAGACCCTAGCTCCAAACATTTGCTCCTTGCAAACCCATAAAAACGTTTTTCCCGATGTTACGTTGCCGTTAACTTGACTCCTGTTCAGCAGACTGTCTCCTGTTATATTCTGCTAAACATAGGTCTGTGTGGAGGTAGATGCCCGATACCTTCAGTGCAAGCATTTCTCAGGACTGCGCTTGTTCAACAACGAAAGTCGGGTCTAGACAGAAGCGTTCATTAATGCACACTTTTCAATGTTCTCGTGGTCCACGAAGTAATCCAAAATATATGTACACAGACCATGTCCCAAAACAATTCTTCAGCTGTGTTAATTATATGGTGCTGTAAAAAGTGTACTCCAGTGTATTTACAAATGAATTGAACTGGCACACCTGTTACTTACTATACCGTACTGGTCAATAATATTATGCATTGTTATTAATTTTGAGAGAAACCATTGTTTGAGGAAATGCTTGAAGCAGGTAAAGGATTGAGTTAAAGCTTCGTCGGTTGCGCAGTAGTGACTGCAGATCTAGCTATCGAAATTCAATAGTGCAATTTGAGCAACAGAAGCCTAAAAATGATAACTTCATAGTATGCTATCACAATGTCGGAAGTAAATAACTTCTATATGTATTTTGAAACAGGTCCTGCTTGTCGTACTGTCGAAATACTTCAAAATATGATCAACGCAGGAATGAACATTGCCCGATTAAACTTTTCTCACGGTAGCCATGAGTATCATGCGGAGACTATAAAGCTGGTTCGTGAAGCTGCCTCGACTTTAAAGCCTATGTCAAGACCAGTCGGTATTGCTTTGGATACAAAAGGCCCTGAAATTCGTACTGGACTTATAAATGGGGTAAGAGTTACGTTTTAATGATTTATTTGCATACATTTGGCAGGTGTTTCTTTATATATTCGCTTGCTAAAATTGAATTATAGTTTTGCGTAACCCTAATGAATATAATCACAATTTAATTGATGACCTTTCCCATGAAGTGATTGCATCAGATAATAATTATCATATCCTAAACTCATATAATGTGTGTATATTTTGTTTTGATAGAGTGGAACTGCCGAAGTTAGTCTTGAAGTTGGGCACAAGATTCGTGTGACTACTGATCCTGCCTTCATGGAAGCATGTAACGCATCCACTCTTTACGTGGATTATCCTAATATTGTCCATGTCTTATCAGAAGGCTCGAAAATCTACGTTGACGATGGTTTAATCAGTTTAGTGGTCAGAAGTAAAGGTAAGCGTTCAATCAGCATAGTATAACTGTCAAAACTACTTTCCTAGTAATTATTTTCTATCACTGATAAGACTTATAATCAACAAAGTGAAAAATTTTCTAGCTATTGTATTTTTTATGAATTGCGTCACTGTGTCACCACTACTGATTGAGCTATCCTCATGTTTGCAGCAATTTAATACTTTAATTTCCAATAACCAGTAATAGATAGCATTATTTGGTCTTTATTTCAAAGCTTAAATTTGATGCTTTCTAAGAGACACTAAAAAGTTGCACGGAGAACTGTTACTTTCCTCTTAATACCAATCAATGTAGATTATGGTCTCGACCATATATGGTATTCATACATTCTCTGTCATGCTAACGTTTTTTTAAATCTGAGGGGATGTCAATAATCTTAACGGCTGATTGGAATCCAGAAGTTCGTGGGTTTAAACCTACTTTTCACATATTAGAATAGTCGCGCAGTATCACTAACATTCAAAAAAGGCTTTGGAAACATCCATGTGAAAGTGAAATGTTCTAGTCGTTGACCATTCTTGAGATAACTCGAAGTGTTACTGTGATTTGTCACAATTTGCCTTGAAAACGTGGGAATTATTCATGTTCTCTTACCAGTAATCGGCTATAAGACAGTTGGAATTATACATGGAAATTTGTGTTCGCTGCTGTTCCTAAAAGCCACATGTGAGAACTATTAGAAGCTCGAAACAACCTGGCGTGAAGTATTGTTTTACGTCTCCAATACTCTCTCAAAATAAGTAAAATCACCCTTAGTTGCATACTTCAGAAATTAACGTAGGAAATAACCTATTTCATATGCTTTACTAATTACTTCTGACACCTTTAATTTTAATACTAGGTCCCAATTTTCTCGAATGTGAAGTCGAAAACGGTGGAAAGCTTGGCTCTCGTAAGGGAGTTAATCTCCCAGGAGCCCGAGTAGACCTGCCTGCAGTTTCAGAAAAAGATAAACAAGATCTTCGTTTTGCAGTTGAGCATAACGTAAGTTTCCAATCAAATTTAATCAGTTTACATTCGTGTCGTATCCTGAAGCGTAATATAGACCTTTCCAATCTCTTGTCTTAACAGCTACATAATTTGTAGCATGACCATTCTGTAGTACTGTTTTCAGAATACTTTTGAAGTAATGCGATTAAGACGTGTGGCAGTTTTCACCATTGTATACCATCAGTTATCAGTCACATAAATACCAATTGGACCAAATTTTTCATCTTGGAATGTGTTTACCACCTACCAAGTGTTAAGTGCCACTTCATTACTGATTTGAATAGATAAAGTGACTTAACAGAATGAAGTGATCGAACAAGCCAACCGTTTCACTTTAGATGGTTTGGCGGTGATGAAATCATGACCTACACAGGAGAAGCTTACTTGACTATATTCAAATTACGTTGTCAACTGTGCAAGCAAGTTGTCCTATCGCTCATTAAGCGTCTCGAATGTATTTCTCGGCAATTCACTATATCTCACTTTGTAAATGAAATGCAGTCACTTAAGTTAGAAGACCCACAAGTATCTTAAGACATCTGACCCTCGACGCCTTGATGGTATTACCACCATTTAGCAGGACCTCCACGTGATTACTGTGGAAGTAAGGCGTAGAGTACTGGGTAAAATGAGTTAATTAGTCGTGAAAATTGAGAGGAGTAAAACACGCTGTGGATACCTAGACCATCGTCTTCCTCAAATTGACGTACATTAGTCGTCCGTTAACTGAGGCTTCGATTTACCTCTTCTAATTGATTTAAAACATTGTTCTTTTCTATTTTTTTAAATCTTAGGTTGATATGGTGTTTGCTTCCTTCATTAGAAACGCAGCTGCAGTACATGAAATTCGCAGTCTCCTTGGTGAAAAAGGTGCTTACATCAAAATAATTGCGAAAATTGAAAACCATGAAGGTGTTCAAAGGTTAGTTTTTAAAATTATTATCATTTTGACTTTTGGAAAGATACCATCATGACACAGCTAAAACATAGATTAGCAAACAAAATATTATGCTATTTGACAGCCTTCCATCAGTTGCAAACGTAGATTTTATAAGCACATGGTTTATTCCAGATATTTTAAAAGGATATTTATTTCAAGTTCCGGTGACAAGAGTAAAACATTGAATCAAGGATGTAAAGAGTCAAGAAGAATTAAATCGACAGAAATTTAAATCTCATCAGACCTGCATAAAAAGCAAGTAGTTACCAAAGTGATCTGCCACTAAATACTCGAACATATACTTCGAAAGACTAGTCAAAATTTGTTTAAGCGTTCTTCACGCCACAGATAAAGTTCTTTCAATAATTAGTGGAACCTTCCTGTGTTTATTGTTCCTTCTTCATCACCTTAATTTTTTTTGTTTGCTTCACAACGGCTTATTATTCCTGCTGTCGTTTCAGATTCAACGAAATCCTTGAGGTTGTTGATGGGATTATGGTGGCTCGTGGTGATCTTGGAATAGAAATTCCAGCAGAAAAAGTTTTCTTAGCACAAAAGATGATGATTGGTCGTTGTAATCAGGTTGGCAAGCCTGTAATATGCGCTACACAAATGTTGGAGTCAATGACTACAAAACCTCGACCAACTCGAGCTGAATCATCCGATGTAGCTAACGCTGTACTTGATGGTGCTGACTGTGTTATGCTTTCAGGTTTGTTAGAATAAGTAATCTTATTGATATGTATGTTATTTTAATGTATAGGGATGTGTATTTGATTCAAGTGTGAGAATGCAACTGTTAATTATATGTTGTTAGTTTTTAAGATTACTATTTTTAACCTACTTAAACTGTATTGACCAACATTTTGTGCGTAAAAGATGTTCTTATACAAACAGAAGTAGATTGATGTGGACAGTTGATAACGGTGAACTGTCGTTTGAAATTATAATACCACTGATAAGGTGTCTCAGTGGAATTGATCAGGTTCGGATTTTGAATCTCTATAGGCAATCCTGCACATTGAAATGCTAGTATATTCATTCAATAGGACGGACGACTGTCCAGTATTAAATACCATAAAACGAATAACGACTACATTCCTTACGCTTGTAACAACAGAAGACAAGGGCCAGGAAACGTTTATTAAGGAAATCACATATTTATAGATTTTCATGTACATATTACAGATTATTGTTAGGAGAAAAACACAGCCTTCTGACTCGTTATTTCTCACAGAAAGTTAACCTTGCATCTCTTTTTGGCTGTTTCTTGAATGTCAGATCACCTATATGTCAACTGTATCCGCCTACGCAAGGCCTTTGTTCTCATTTTTCTCACGACCAATATTGGGGACAAAAACATTAACGTAAATTACTGCCCACCAGTTTTGGCTGACAGCCAGCTCTCACCACACGCTTATTTTTGTCTACCATTAGTAATCGTATATTGTGTAATTATTAGAAAGAAACTGTTGATTACTACTTTTTTACCATTTATCATCGCATGTGTGTAACACCTTCCTTTTAATAATCCAGGTGAAACAGCCAAAGGATTGTATCCCCTAGAAACTGTACAAACTATGCATCGTATTTGCGTACAAGCTGAAGCAGCAATGTTCCATGGGCAGTTGTTTGAAGATCTGAAGAACTCTTTGTGTGGTCCCACAGAGATGGCTCACACTACAGCTATTGCTGCTGTAGAAGCTTCTAATCGATGCAACGCAGCTGCTATAATTGTGATTACCACTTCTGGACGGTAAGTTGTTGTCTGTTCCTTTCTTCATTTAGTGATGGTTATAACGATAGCTTTATTCCTACATACAATTCTTCCGTTTACACTAAACAGTATTCAAGTAAATAAAAAGATCGATGTTATATCCTCATGTGAAACATGCTAAAACCGTACTGTGTTTGATTTCATGACATAATAAAGTGGTTAGAATAACCTGAAATTCAATAAACCTAATGTTAGATGGAAATTTTAGCAGTTTAATAATATTTAAACAAGTTGCAATTCGAACGGGGGTAAGAAAATCAAAGTGACGGAGTATTATATAGTTGTACGTATGCTAGAATAATATAAAATATAATACAGTATCTAGATTTAACTTAGATAAAATATTCAGTATTCTTTCAGGTCACCCTCTTTTCAATTGACCAATGTAGTGGTTATATGTTTGTGATCAGGTATTGCAACACTGATTGCTCTGCCGCCCATGTTATTTTGAGACTAAGTAGTATCATCTGGGCTGCCAACTTTCAAGATTAAACGCACTATACTTTTGTTACCACAGGCCATTTTATGTTGCACATCGCTTTGATTCCATTGAAAACTGTCTTCAGTAGTGTATCTAGGTGTTTCTCATTGAAAGCTGCATTTCTGCCCAGGCTTAAGATTCATCCTAATCAGAGTTGAGTATCAACTGAAGATAGTCAACTGGTTGTTAATTTAATAATTTCAAAGGTCTCCTCAGCACTAATTATTTCAATTTGTATATGTATTCTGTTATAATCTTCTCTTTTACATACTAGGTCATGCCACTTGATTTCACGTCATCGACCTCGTTGTCCAATCCTTGCTGTTACGCGTCATGAAGTCATTGCTCGTCAAGCTCATCTTTATCGTGGTGTCCATCCCTTATACTATGGCGGTAAGCGATTGTTTGTTGTGTCTATTTCTTTTACCGTAATCTTCACTAATCCCAGCAAATGGAAGTATACTCGTAACACTTATCTCCATATGCTTTTCCTCTGCATAATTTACAGAAGCACGAACTAAAGAATGGGATGAAGATATGGATCGTAGAATTCGTTTTGCCATTGACTTCGGTCGTAAGCGTTCATATTTCACTCCAGGATGTTATGTGATCATTGTAACTGGTTGGAAGGCTGGTTCAGGTTCAACGAATACACTTCGTGTTGTCAAGTTAGAAGATGCAGAAACCAAACCAATAGTTATGGTGCCAAGTATTACTCAATTTGATGACTAAAGAGTGTGTTTTTTCGTAAAAGGTTTATTGTGCTGTATTATGTGAACGACAGAGAAATATACATTAAATTTAATTCTTCTTACACGTTTCATCAGTCTTTATTCTTGCACCTTAGTCGATTTATTATCCCTCACCTTCACTTAACTACATAAAGTTCTGTTATTACTTTCCAATCGATAATTCATATTTTTGTGTGCTAATAAGTCTTCATTGTCGTGATGGAACCATTCGGTAGGTGTGTGAATCCGTCAGTATTCATCTTTATTATAGTACTTCTATAGTTGTACCAACCCAATATTATCTTCATGTATTTTTGACTTATCCTTTGGGAGAATGAAGGTATATCGATTTTCTTGATTTGTTCTCCAAATTAGATATTTCTTAAATCACTTTTTGCATGTAGACGTCATACTGAAAAGAAAAAAACCCACATAACATTATAAGGACAACATTTTGTGTTCTTTCTTACTCAGAGTAAATGGAAGTGCTTGTTTGATTCGTAATAATTCAAAAAAAATATAGGCAGATGAAGTGAAAACTCATGTAGTGGATCCAGTGTTAACCTGAGTCCGGAATGCATACCATAGTTTCAGTTACACCAATTACCTGACCAACTAGATCTATACCGGCATTGCCTTCTTTCAATCCAAATGCTATCACTCGCTGATTTTTAGTTGTATCCACCGGAAAAATCCCAATCCGGACATGATTCCCAGTTGTAGTTCCACTATAAAACGTATGAGATAATCCAATTCTCCTCCCGACCGAAAGCTGCTACCTTGACGTGGTGGTCGGGCTTGAACACCGCAATGACCTAATCAAGCTATACTGGCTGAGACTTATGTCTCTTGAGGTTCTACCATGCCAGGCAGGTTGTTTGGATAGCGGTTAAACAAAAAGCAGCTACCTCATCCAATACCATGATCCAAACAAATTCACAAAATTTCATGCCGGATCGGCCGTGGCCCGGATTAACAACGACCGCGCTTCCTGCTGCCGTGTCACAGGGCGGGAGTGATAAGTATGCTACTGAGGCACACAAAACAACGAAGAACGAACAAAAACAGGCCGCGTGTGACCGGCCACAAGCAGTTGTCCCCTGGGCTCTGCGGTCACGCAACCAACTTCCACGGTGTGGGCAGCCGGGAAGTAACAATCGCCCTCACAATCCAAAACGCACACAAAACCTCTCTAATCCTCACTTATCTTTGTCTTCATCTTTTCATCTATTACCTTACCTTCCCCCAGTGATGCAACTCCTCTACTTGATGGCTCCTCACTCCCTCTTCACTCTGTGTCCACTAAAAACGACGAAAGCCAAAAAACCACCACGGATAGTCTCCTAAAGCCACGCCACCAATTTCATATAGGAGCATTTAATGTAAGGACACTTTGCCAAATAGGACAACAAGCATCACTAGCTAAGACCCTGGCATCTCGAGCCATTGATGTATGTTGTGTTTCAGAAACACGCATACAAGACCCAAGTGTGGTTATTCACCTAACCCCACCTGGCCAACAGGATGAATCTTCAAAATTCACCTTGAGGGTGTCAGGAGATGCCACAGCTAGTTCACGGGATTAGCTGGCGTAGGGATAGCTCTGAGTACTAGGGCAGAAAAGACATTGCTTGACTGGATCCCAGTAGATAGCCGAATGTGTGCTGTCCGTCTGAACGGATCAGTAAGAAGGAGAAAGGACTGCACTACTCGCCGATGCCTTTTCGTAATCTCCGCCTACGCCCCCACTGACTGCAGTTCGGATGAAACGAAGGATGAGTTCTACCAAAAGCTGTCTAGTTTGGTGAGAAAGGCTAAACGCTCAGATATAGTCGTTCTAGCTGGTGACTTCAACGCTCAAGTAGGGAAATTGTGTCAATCTGAGAAGGATGTCGGTGGCACCTATGGAGTTCCGTGCCAGCGAACCGACAACGGTGACCGTCTCCTACAGTTCTGTTCAGATAATCATTTGTTTCTTGTAAGCACTAACTTTAAACACAAGGAGAGACACTGTTTAACCTGGCGACCCCCATCATCAAACCAACGCTGGACACAAATAGACCACATAGCAATAAGCTATCGTTGGCGTGGGTCGGTAGGAGATTGTCGCTCCTTCTGGAACACGTGTGTAGATACCGATCACGCACTGGTCCGGGCTCGTGTGTGCTTACGACTGAACGGACGTAGGAAACAGCTGGCGGTAAAACCATTACGCCCCCAGCTCGATCAGGAAACTAAATCCCTATTTGAGGAAGAACTAGCTAAACGCATATCTGAATCCGACAGCTGTGCTCACCCTGGAGAAGCCTGGAAGAATATTCAGTCAGCTATAGATACAGCTGTAAAAGCTGTGAATAAGACAAATCCAAAGGTGAGTAAAAACCACTGGATTTCGACTGCCTCATCCGAACTGATAGATGCTAGAAGACTTATTCCGGCGAGCTCCGAATTCAATGAGGAGCGAAAGCTGCACAAAAGGAAACTTACTAAAAGTCTCCGCAAGGACCGTGAACAGTGGTGGGTGACAAAGGCGAAAGAGATGGAAAAAGCATTGGCGATAGGCAACACTAGGCAACTCTTTAGACTCATCACAGAATCGGGCGGGAAAAGGCAATTCATAAGTGAGACTATTTCTGAGAAAAATGGCTCCTTAATTAGCTCTCAGGATAGACGCCTTGAACGCTGGAAAGAACACTTTGAGGAACAATTTAACTTGCCTACAGCCACACTGAACCTCCCCGCCATCCACCACGTACCCGAATGGGATATAGACACTGGTCCGCCGTCTGTAGGTGAGGTTACAAAAGCTATCAGTAATTTGAAACGAGGCAAAGCGGCAGGACCCGACGGAATTATTCCGGAGGTGTTTAAATATGGGGGTGACATACTAGTTTGTAGATTAACTGAGGTACTAGGCAAAGTCTGGGAATCAGAGACAGTACCATCAGACTGGGGTAAGTCACTTATTATACCGATATTCAAGAAGGGAAACAAGTCCTCGTGTGATAATCATAGGGGGATCAGCCTAACGAACATAGTCTCTAAAATCCTAGGCTCAGTAATCATGCATAGACTAAGCAGAACTCGGGAGGAACAGACAAGGGAAAATCAAGCAGGCTTTAGACCAGGTAGAGGGTGCATAGATCATATCTTCACTCTTCGACAGATTCTAGAACATAGACACACTTTTCGGCGTCCAACAATTGTCATATTTCTTGACTTGAAGGCGGCCTTCGACTCCGTGGACCGAAAGGTACTATGGCAATGTCTGACTGTGAAGGGAGTGCCAAGAAAGTACATTGCACTAATCAAGGCACTCTATTCAAACTCACGTAGTCGTGTAAGGGCTTATGGGGAATTGTCATCTGAATTAGTAACAACCAGTGGTGTCCGACAGGGATGTCCACTTTCCCCATTTCTGTTTAACTTCATCATAGATATGCTAATGGAAGTATCCTTAACTGAACGTAGTGACTTAGGAATCGACTTGTTACCAGGGAATAATCTAATGGACTTAGAATATGCAGATGACATAGTCCTGTTAGGGGAGGATGCTGACAAAATGCAGAGTCTTCTGAACACCTTGAGCAGCAATCTTCGTATGTTTGGCATGCGATTCGCCCCTGCAAAATGTAAGATGCTGCTACAGGACTGGACGACGTCAACCCCTAACTTAGTGATAGGGAGTGAAGTGATAGAACATGTTGACCACTTCACCTACTTGGGAAGTTGTATTAGCACCAACGGACTGATTGGCGATGAAATCTCAGCACGGATCCGAAAAGCTCGAGCTGCTTTCGCTGACTTACACCATCTCTGGCGTAGGCGTGACATCCGGTTATCAACCAAGGGACGTGTGTACTGCTCATCAGTTCGCTCCGTCCTTCTCTATGGCTCTGAAACATGGCCAATACGCGTTGAAGACATGAAAAGGTTGACTGCTTTCGATCATAGATGTCTGCGATCTCTGTCTCACGTTAGGTGGTTTCACAAGATAAGTAATGTTGACGTTAGGCGTAGAGTGTTGGGCAAAGAGGGAAAATCAATCGACGAGGTTATAAAGTTACATAGACTAAGATGGCTAGGTCACGTGGTGCGCATGCCTAACCACCGCCTCCCCCGACGGGCATTGTTAGCTGATATAGGTTCAGGTTGGAAAAGAGCCAGTGGTGGCCAAACAAAAACATGGCATCAATCCATGAAATCCTTGACAGTTAAACTGAGTCAGGTAGGGAGATGCAGACTCCCGGGTTGGGGCCCTCGGGACTCTAGGAATCAATGGCTGGAGACAATAGGTGACATGGCTCAAAATCGTTGTCAATGGCGCAGATGTATTCAATCTCTGTAATCTTTCATATTCCTTTCTACCATTACCCATTCTGTTTCACTCTTATATTTGTCAAACTCTATTAATTCTCTTCACTCATCTTCTTGTCTACCTCTGTGTGCTATTTGGAACGTGGCAACTCGAACTGCTGCACTTCGGTGCCAAGTTCTATGTTGAATCCAGACAGACAGACAATTCTCCTGATTGTAGAATTGTAAACGGAATTTACCCGCTATTTCTCAACATCTGGAGTAATCTCTTATTTGATTTTGATAGGAAATTCACGTCTTTAGTCAAAACAGATGCTCTCAACTATGCACTTTGAGGGTTTTTATTACTATGAGTGATATTTTGTTTTTATTACGATTTTATGATCAGTCTTAGTGGATACTATAATGTCTTATGATGACATGCAATTATAAAGGGAAGAGTCTTCATTGGGCCATTACGACTGTGGTAATTAATTGAAAATGCTAGTCAAGATTCCGAGTACACGATGTTGCGAAATAACAAACAAGCAAATAATCTAGGTTTATTATTGCGTACCGACAGTATTCTATTATCAAAAAAATTGAAATATAGAATATCTAAAACAATAAGTTCCCTTTATGAATTTAGATAAAGTAATAAGAAGACGTGATTTGTCTGAATCGTATAATGTATTTGAGTAACACATTGCGAACAATCTGATCGATCACACACGGACTTGTCAGAGAAATTTATATGAAATTAATAAAGAACTAAGACGTGAGAAAATAAATTTAGGTCAAGTTAAAAGGACATATTCAATGTGAAAACAACAACGAAGACCAATAAACCAAATAGCAGAGGTATTAATACATCTGCTATAGTATTAAAACAAAATTTACCAAGGAAGGGTTAGACTGATGGAGAATTGTTTTTGAACGCGTAAAGGTGGTTCAAACTTTCTAATTGCCAACTAGGGCTTCCACAAAATTTAGGATATGCCCCCAAACACGTTGTATAGGAAGGTTTTAAAGATGTGTGAACATCAGTTTTATGCCCTGTCTCTATAATGTTTCGCAATAGACGAGCTAGGTCTCCTGTTCTCACCATTAATGGGTTCTGGGGATTGTCTTTGCTTCTGGAGACATTCAGGAATGT